GGGGGGGGGGGGGGGGAAGTAAGCGGAGCGTTGCTGCCTTTTAAGTCCTAAATTGACTTTCTGTGAGGAAGTGGGATTTATGGGGAATAAGGGGTTATAAATAGAGAGGGGGGAGCGCTCAGGAATAAAACGCTCAATTTGAGAGGCAGGATTTGTGTCACAAATGTAATTACGGCTGTCCAGCTCGCAGCCTGATAGAATTAAGCTCCTTGCCAGCGCACTGCTGTACTATACACAGAGAAACTCTGTGTGTCTGAGTGCGTGGGCACGTGTGTGTGTATATACTAAAAGAATGTGAGAATTTTGGTCCAAGAAAAAAAAAAAAAATTAAAGTCATGATACTGCCTGTATGAGATAGCAGTGTGTGTCCTTGACCGCCTTAGATGAAATAAGGGAATAAATATGAGCACAATTCACTTTTTTGTGTGTGTTTGTGTGTGTTTGTGTGGGACTGTGAGTGCACTCATTCCATGCATGTCAGGCGGTTGAGGCTGGAGGTAAATGAATAATGAGGGTTTAATAGGATGGATGAGCGGGGGAGAGGTGGCTATCATCGCCAGCTCGATCCAATGGAGGGTGAAATCAGCGTTTATCACATATCGCTGCCCGCTGTGCCAGCAGATGCTCTCGCGGATCCGTTCGCATCGTGTCTGCCTGATTGCCACTGATTCAAGCTGGTGCACATATTTGACAAACAGCCTAACAGCCAAACAGGCCAGGACGATGGCGATGCCCTTCACAGCTGTAATGCTCCTCCGTCCAAGATGAAGCGATAATGTCACGTCTTCACTTTCTGCTTTTTGATGCTTTATATCTCGCTCCGTTGGCGAGGGCCGCACTGGGAGGAGTTTTCTTTTCTTTTCGGGAGTAGAATTTTCTGCAAAGACAATGTTTGGTGACGGCAGTTGGAGCACTACAAAGACTTGGACGGACATAAAACTCAGTTGAATCATCAAACATAAAAAAAGTGAGTTTTCATATTAACTAAAAGAGGAGAAAAGTTGGGTCCAACTCCCAAGGTGCCTTTCAGTGAGAACCATCCAATTACCAGGCTTAAAAGTCTGTTGGGTGAAGCTAAAGATGACCAGTTCATTTTTGGATTATAGGTGAATATTTGATGTATTCAGGCGCCATTGTGTGGTCTTTTGATCCCAAATATCAAAAATAAATTCCCTACACCTATAACCAGCTTCTTTTCCCCAGCAACGGCAGCTGATGCCTCATAATTTGCCTCTTCTAACTTACATACTCAGCTCTGCAGCTATTCTTCTCCTGTTGTCACATGGCAAGGTAATTCAATTCATCATTCTTATTCAAAGTCCCAGCAGCTTGTTTGAGTTATATTGTAGAGAATTGGGAAGTCGTTGGCCATGACAATCAGCTATTCGCTCCGTTCTATTTGAAGTTCTTCTTCGTAGCTGAGTGGAGAAGAAAACAATTCTGTGCTTCTTTTTCACGAGGGAATCAAAACAAGCACCGTTGGTTGTCGCTAGAGGACATTTGCATCAAGTAGAAGCAAGAGCACTGGCATGCTTTTTCGAGGTTCATCTCACAATGAATCGCATTCAGCATTGTGTCTCCAGTGTTTGAATGTGTGAGCAGGACTCCAGACTGTTGGGTATCATACTATTTAGAGCCATTTTCCCAACCAAACATGACATGAAACATGAAAATATATGAAAGTTGACATACAGTAATTAAAACCGATGACAATAACATAAAGCTACTATATTATATTATCAAATTTTCAACAAGACTAATTTACAGTGCGGGGAAAATACTAACAATGAAACAATAGTTATTCAGCTTTTGACAGACGAGCCACTTCTGGGAAATGCAAGAACATCTTTGATGCCAAAAAAAACAAAGAACATGCCAATAAATGGTGCTTGCATTTCACACACGCTGCTTGCATACTTAAATGTGTAAATGTGCACATGCCTTATCCACATACGTGATAAGTGTACTGTGACTTCAGCAAAGGTTGACGTTGCTGTCGTGTTTGCACTGAGGAGACAGCAGTCAAGTGTTTGCCTGGATCATAGCCGTGGGGTCTTCGCTGCGTTGACAGGCCCTGCAAGGACTAACTCCATGACGCTGCTTTGTACCTTAAAAGTGACTGTGGTGCGCCTGCATCCTGTGACTGTGGCCTACTGATGTAACTCATTCTCTAGATATATGTCACAGGGTCCAAACATCGTCAATAAAGATATTTTGTGAATATTTAAAAAAGAATAATTGCAGTCTCCCTTCTAAAATGTCTGTTTTCCCACAGCTGGTGCAAACTGAATGAAAGTTGTCTCCACACAACAAT